GCAGCGGGTTAGTTCATACTCGATTGAGACTCGTGTACGAAGGCCCGCAATGGCAAGGAAAGATGCTGATGGTGTACGGTGCTTTAGGTGCCAGGAGACTGGTCACTTTGCCAAAGAATGTGGCAAGCCGAGGACCGTCTCCTGTTATGGATGTGGCAAACCCGGCATGACGGTGAATCAGTGTGGATGTCGTGCGGGAAACGGCAGGCCAGCTCAGGCATCAGGAGGTCAACTGAGCGAGGCCACCGAAAACGAACGACCTCAGAAGAGTGGTCCGAGTGGCTCGGAAAACTAAACAGCCTGGTTGGTGGGGTAGACGAGAACCGGCTGGTTTCGGAGACAAGGCCCTTTGTTGAAGTTGTGCTGATGGGCAGCGGTTTTAAGGCGTTATTGGACACTGGGTCCGTAGTTAATCTGGTTGGCCGAGAAGTCGCCGATCATCTTCAACGCCAGGGGGTAGAACCTTTTAAGAAACCCTCTCCTCTAAGGATGGCAGATGGGTCGCGGTCTAGGGCCGAGTATTCGTTCCGATTGGCAGGGGAGGCTGCGGGAAGACGGTGGGTTGGAGACGCCTTGTACGTTCCCAATCTTACCACGGATATGATTTTGGGTATGGATGTCATCCGAGACCTCGGATTGGTGACATGTGGGACAGAGGTAGTAAGAATGGGCGTGGGTAGTGACTGTTCTGGCCAAGGTGGCCACATAGACAGTGTCAAAATTGGTGACGAAGACCCCGAAGGCCCTTGCAATGGAAATCCCCGTCTGGTTTCTGATGCTAAATCATTCAGCACCATGTTGGCTGGTGGTGGCGAGTAGAAGAGTTTTTCTTTGTTTTAAGTTTGAGACCTGTGGTGTAGGGTTCACCATTGGGTTAGGGGTTGGAGTTTTTTGTTTTGGCCGGAGTTTAAAGATTTTTTTTTCTTTTTGGCCGTTTTCTTTTTTTTTCATCCCGATGTAAGTGGGGAATGTAACGAGCCTTTTTCCTAGGGGGGTAAATATTTGCTATTTGGCCGCGCACCGATTGTTGAGGTAGGCAAGCGGCGGCGGCGAACCTGGCTAGCGCCCTTTGACCCGGCTTATCAGTTCGGATAAGCTTGGGTATCCTGGGACTACCGGATAGCCGAGAAGGACATTCTAGTGGTGGATCCCGGACAGTGTAGAAGGCAGTGTTGGTGTCCTGTGTAAACGGCTGGCGTACTTTGGAGGTACAGAGTGTACGTGGTGTGATCGCGCCGAGTGTTGGTGTAAGTTGGGTACAGACGGTACAGACCCACTGTTGGTGAGTGGACGACGTTCCTTACACTTTGGTTTAAGATTTGATTTAATATTAATCTTAAACTTTATTGCGAGAGTTAGAGTTGTAACCGTGCTGGTCAAAGCCTGACGGTAGTTAGGATTTATATTAGTCAGGAATAATATTTAAGTGTATTCCTGACGGTTCTGGGCAGGTGCTAGAGCGCAAATAATATAATTTAATTGACTGTAGTAGATATTATTTTGCGTTGTACCTAGAGTTAGTTATATTACTAATAACTCTGAGGCCCGACAAACCTGGGCTGCACGATTTAGCGTGCGTAGTTGGAAGCACGAGGCCAGTAGGCTAGTAGCTAGTTTTATCAGCCTATTAACAGAAGCCCGGCTAAGCAATATAACGTTGATATAGTAGCAGTAGTGGTAGTAGCAGTAGGGTTGGTATTGATTAATCATTTAATTATTTTAATTTAACCTGAACAGCTTGCTTAGTAGTCCAACACGTTAGCTTGGTAGCTTGGATAGCGAAGTACCGGCTACCAGATAATACATTTATCTAGTGTTTGGAACGCAGTTAATATTTATTTATCTGCTACTAAGTACAGTAGCTCAATATTTTAATAGTGCAATTGCCATTTAGTTTTGCTTGTTTGGCTTGGTATTTATTGAGACCAGCTACTAGTGGTGTAGTCACTCTACCTATAGTGTACTTGTATATTATTATGTGGTACGATTATTGAGTGAACTGTTTGATTCTTAGCTTGGGCATTAGAGTTGTGTATTGGATTATAGTGGCCTAGTAGACCCCGCCTGGTGATAACACGCGTTGTGGGTTTTATTGGCAAGTCGTCGTGTAACTCACTGTGTTTTAGGCACTCTGGGCTTAACTATTGGATAGTTAGGACGAAGCCCGAGTTGCGTAGTCAGCAACGACCCCCTAGGAGTGTGGAGAATCGGCGTAGGCCTGGTAGTGATTATTGCACGTTTGTTTTGGTGACTTGTTTTTGACTTGTTCACAGTGCCCGTGTATGAGCCAGTCCTATACCGGTTAGACCCGGCTTTTGGCCTAGTGGTTTCCCTGACCTTATCGCAGACCCTGGAACTTTACCCAGCCATTGTAGGCTGAGCTATCCCCGGCAAACGTTTGCGACTGCATGCACTTTTAATATTTTTTCCAGTGCAGAAAATATCGTCGCAGTATATCCGTACACAAAATATTATTGGTTTTTCTTTAACCACTCACCAGATATAATGTTGGTTCCAGACATTTTCAACACCCTGTATATAGTAAACATTATGTATATTAATACCGTCAAACTTAATAACCCTAATGTTTTTCGGATACAAAAACCATCTAAACTTTTAGGCAACAATTAATAATTAGTCAAATACGGGTAATTTTGGCACTTATCGTTTCCAAATACAACAGACCTCCGCTACCCCCTCTCCCGTTCTACTGGTATGCATCCCCATATTCAATGGCACCCCTCTCCTTAGTCCATCACTATCTATGTGACTACATTAAGCTACAACATTTATCTTTTCTAAAACTTTCCAAAAATGAAAACAGCAATTAAGTTATACACCTTTGTACGTATGTAATGTTTAAATGTAAAATAATATGCCTGCATTTAGTTATTTAATAATTTAGATGATTTACATTATTTATAAATAGTTTTATTTTATTTATAGTATACGGGGTTAAGAATGGAAATAGGAAAACAGGGATATCTTTATTATTTTATTAGTCACAAGGTTTACGCACAGGCAAATCTTGCCAATATAGGCGCATTCGTATAAAGAGTTGCTAGTTTTAAAATGTATAATTGAGAATATTTCTTGAAACATGTATGCGATGTATTATAATAATATGGATAACGTATATTTAATTTATTCATTTTGATTGTATGCAGGGCAGGTAGTGTGTGCACACTGTCTTAAAATAGTTTTGATTGTTTGCTCACCATTTTGCACGTATGCACTGTCTGGTTTGATTGTTTGCTCACAATGTTGCACGTGCGCAATGTCTGGTTGATTGTTTGCTCACCATGGCGCACGTGCTCACTGTCTTGTTATGGATTTCTTTGTTTGCTCACCATTGTGCACGTGCTCACTGTCTTGTTATGGATTTCTTTGTTTGCTCACCATGTTGCACGTGCGCACTGTCTGGTTTGATTGTTTGCTCACCATTGTGCACGTGCACACTGTCTTGTTATGGATTTGTTTGTTTGCTCACCATGTTACACGTGTGCACTGTCTGGTTGAATTGTTTGCTCTCCATGGTGCACGTGCTCACTTTCTAGTTACAGGTTTGTTTTTTGCTCACCATGTTGCACGTATGCAATGTCTGGTTGTTGGTTTACTCACCATGTTGCACGTGCGCACTGTCTTGTTTGATTGTTTGCTCACCATTGTGCACGTGCACACTGTCTTGTTATGGATTTGTTTGTTTGCTCACCATGTTACACGTGTGCACTGTCTGGTTGAATTGTTTGCTCTCCATGGTGCACGTGCTCACTTTCTAGTTACAGGTTTGTTTTTTGCTCACCATGTTGCACGTATGCAATGTCTGGTTGTTGGTTTACTCACCATGTTGCACGTGCGCACTGTCTTGTTTGATTGTTTGCTCACCATTGTGCACGTGCACACTGTCTTGTTATGGATTTGTTTGTTTGCTCACCATGGTGCACGTGCTCACTTTCTAGTTATAGGTTTGTTTGTTTGCTCACCATGCTGTATGTGCTTACTGTCTCTCATGTATTGCAAGCATACCAAAATGTATGATTGTGCTCGCTTTAAGAAATTATTGATTGATAAACAAATAACTAATAGTTTCTGAGCATACGTTTTGTTATTAAGGTACAAGTTATTTGTATTGATTTTTAATGTGATTTACAATCCTAATCGTAGAACTACAGTATTAACGTACAAGAAATGTTTAAGGTTTTATATGTTACAGCATACACCATAACACTGATGTGAGGTTTATAAGTGTGTTCTATACTGATGTACACAGTGATAGAACCGATTTACAATAATTTTAATCATTAGATAAGTCTATTAAAACTAAAAGCTTCCTGTTGTGACGTATACAAGCTCAAACTTATCTTGGACGTGGTTTATCTCGAACTTATAGTGCTGCGTTTAGTATTGTAAACCCCTTTAAAATCACAACTAAATATATCCAAGCAACTAAATGAATGATCAAAATAAAAAAAAAAAAAAAAACGATCAAAGTGATTAAGCAAGTGATTTCTGCCATAGTGAATCAGATACAGCAGACTATGTCAGAGGTTAGGTAAACTCGCGCTTTCTGCAAACAGCTGGTGGGTTTCATGTTGAACGTGGACTATATACTACGTCGTTGGTTTATATACAAACATCTAATAGTGATCAAATATACAGTCAACTAGCAATCGTCTACGCTAAACACACATTACATTGTTATAATCGAAAATGTGACCTAATGATTATATTTCGTACATTAAAACGCACCAAAGCATACACATTACACATTTTAAAGATAAATAGTGGGGAATAAAGTGGAAGATAGTAGTAAATGGAAGGTAATATGAACATCACTCGATACAAGATCTCCTATATATAAATCTGCAAGAATACATACAAAGGGATGTAAGTGTTTATGAAGGAGGATGTAGGAACGAAACGTGAACTGCTGCAGGATTCTTTCACAATGTTGACAGTTTGTCTATTAGATTGAACTATTTATCCATGCAATGATTTACCTTGCATCTGTAGAGCCGTTGTAGGCTGTTGTATGTAGAGGGTTGGAGACTGTGGTTGTAGTCTGTAGTCTGTAGTCTGTTGACACTACAATGCTCAATGCTGGGTCGCGGATAAGGCGCCAACATCACAACAACATCGATAATCAAACAACAGTTGACACTCGAAACTGACAGAACACCGAATCAACCCTCCCTTACGTGGTCATATACTCTACAATACTCAATACAGCCAAGACATAATATACAAATAGTCAAGGTGGGGTTTAAAAGTAGCCTGTTTAGTATATAATCAGTTGGAAAGCATTGCTTTGACGTAGTTGGAAAATAGATTTTGTAATGTTGAATGGACATTTAACTAATCCATTCGTTACTTTCGGAGAAAAGGATACAGGTCAAAGACAATTTCAAAAACTCGAATAGCAAACATTTGCAAAGCTTCATTCTGTAAAATACTATAAATACGATTGGGAATCATTTCATTCGAATGCTATACGAGTGTAGGTTGCATTCGGTTGTGGAAGTGTTCGGATGGGTGGCATTGGGTGGTTAGGACCCCCTGGATCAATACCACCTGATTCATACCCTTACCTTTCTTCACCCGCACAGCTTTGCCTACCGCGTAACAGAATGATTCGGAACAATGATAAATAATCAATAATATGTCGGTCAACTCAGACATCACCCTAGTAACCCGATATGCCTACCTTCTCTCTGTATGTGTCGCTACATGATATGGACGCACTTACGACCCATTTATAACCAGAAAATGGTAAAGCTGTTTATTATAAACACAACCCTCTCATGCTAGGAAAACAAAACTTATTATTACTTATTATTATTATTATTACTTATTATTATTAACTTATTATTATTAACTTATTATTAACGGCCGCATTTTGGTTGGTTTGTTTATAATATGTACCATCTCAAGTAAACCTACCTCAAGACAATTCTGAAGGAAGCTACAATGTTTTCAACATATCCTCAGTTTGTCATGATATAATTACACCTCGCTACTCGCCAAATATAAGTAACACGTATGCTTGGTCACTGAGGTAGGTAAATAACTAAATAATAAAGATTTGATTGTTGCAATCATAGGAAACAGGATTTGGAAAATTTAAAAATCAAGGGATCTATACTTTTTTATATTCGATTCGATATATATCTACAACAGGAAATACCTTCAGCAGTAAATCTCAGGACTTGACGATTACCTTTCTTAAAGTAAAAATCCCCTAAATTTAATTTCTGTTTTTGAAACTTTAAATAATTCTAATGGATGGCTCTCCTCTAGAGATTTTCTTACACAGATTGTGCAAATATTGTATTTATTATTCGCATATTAATAGATTTAAGGTGCAAGAAGCAATGCACACAGTTTGATCACGTGAGTGTTTAAAACTATTGAACGTATTGAACGTATTGAACTATTGAAACGTGATGTTAATGTTAAAGTTACTATTGAATAACATTGGTCTGCAAAAATCTTCAATAAAATACCTTCATCCAATCTTCTCGTTGATGGAATGAGACTAAAATGCATTTTCCAAATTTGATCAAAAGATGCAAAATATGTAAATTCGTCCATAAACAAGCAAACTACAACAGTTTACTTATTCCCTATGAGAATAACAAGGGAGTTTTAAATTTAAAATTATTTGGCATTTCCCCCGTAACTATTAGGCGCATAATAACGCTTCAACATACTAAATTATTTCTTTTTTAAGCTCTACAAAATGGTTTGGAAAGAAAATGCTAGATTTTATGTTTTTTGGGTCAAAAATGTGAAAACATATTTTTACCCCATAAAACCCCCAATAAACCCCCGTTCCCATGGTCCGATCATGCTGGTTTGTGAACACGTTTGAATAAACGTAGGTTTACGTGTTTACACCAAATTTTATTAAAATCGGATAATTTTTGCTCGAGTTATTGTGCTAACGGACAAAGATATGAATTTGAACGGATGGTGTTTTTGGCCTCTAGGGACCTCAAAACGAAAAAGTAAATCGGTCCCGGGTCCAGGTCTTACCATGAGTACTATGGTAATATTTTACTCCCTACCGGGGAAATTCGCTAAAAACGTCAATATACTAAATTATTTATTTGTGTAAGCTCTTCAAAATGGTATGGAGATAAATAGGGAAATTTTATGTTTTGAGGGTAAAAAATAAGAAAACCCAATTTTTTACTCTCAAAACCCCCATAACTCCCGTTCCCATGGTCCGAGCATGCTGGTTCACGAACTCGTTCGAATAAATAGGTTTACGCGTTTGTACCAATTTTATTAAAATCGGATGATTTATGCACGAGTTATCGTGCTAACAGAAACACACAAATATGTATGAATTTGAACTGATGGTTTTTGGCCTCTGAGGTCATCATAACGATAAAGTAAATAGGTCCCGGGCCCAGGTCTTAACATGAGACCTACGGTAATAACTTATATGAGCTTATATAGCTATATGGGACATTCGCTAAAATATACAACTCCTGGTGAACAATTAGTTTCATGGTTATATTTACCTGAATTCACAAGGTGGTATTTTATGCTGAATAAGAGAGTACTGTAGATCAATCGGGACATTTTTCTGAGAGGACCTTGTCACTAAGGTCAGATATTTCTCCATCCAGAACAATTTAATTAAAATCCCAACGATCGAGGATAGCTTGATCCAATTTCAAACCATCAAAAAGCTACTGACGTTTCTCGTGATACGAATGATGGTAATTTGGTGTACGCTCATATCACCCATGATGTTCAGCTATTAACTGTTAAAATTATTAGCAATAACCATTGTTATGTCTTTCTTATCATACGTTATAACCTCATAAGTTACCCACAGGAATCCGTCGTCCTGAACAGTCAATTGGTGTAAAGTGTTGACGTGATGGGGTTAAAATCGTCTCCAACAATGGAGGCGACGTAGCTACTCGTCGCTCGTCGTCCTGAACAGTCAAGTAGTGTAAAGTGTTGACGTTATGTGGTTAACATCGTCTCCAAGCAACGCAGGCGACGTAGCTACTCGTCGCTCGTCGTCCTGAACAGTCAAGTGGTGTAAAGTGTTGACGTGATGGGGTTAACATCGTCTCCAAGCAACGCAGGCGACGTAGCTACTCGTCGCTCGTCAGCCTGAACAGTCAAGTAGTGTAAAGTGTTGACGTAATGGGGTTAACATCGTCTCCAAACAACGGAGGTGACGTAGCTACTCGTCGCTCGTCAGCCTGAACAGTCAAGTGGTGTAAAGTGTTGACGTAATGTAGTTAACATCGTCTCCAAGCAACGGAGGCGACGTAGCTACTCGTCGCTCGTCAGCCTGGACAGTCAAGTGGTGTAAAGTTTTGACGTGATGGGGTTAACATCGTCTCCAAGCAACGGAGGCGACGTAGCTACTCGTCGCTCGTCGTCCTGAACAGTCAAGTAGTGTAAAGTGTTGACGTGATGTGGTTAACATCGTCTCCAAACAACGGAGGTGACGTAGCTACTCGTCGCTCGTCAGCCTGAACAGTCAAGTGGTGTAAAGTGTTGACGTAATGTAGTTAACATCGTCTCCAAGCAACGCAGGCGACGTAGCTACTTGTCGCTCGTCAGGCTGAACAGTCAAGTAGTGTTAAGTGTTGACGTAATGTGGTTAACATCGTCTCCAAACAACGGAGGTGACGTAGCTACTCGTCGCTCGTCAGCCTGAACAGTCAAGTGGTGTAAATTGTTGACGTGATGGGGTTAACATCGTCTCCAAACAACGGAGGTGACGTAGCTACTCGTCGCTCGTCGTCCTGAACAGTCAAGTAGTGTTAAGTGTTGACGTAATGTGGTTAACATCGTCTCCAAACAACGGAGGTGACGTAGCTACTCGTCGCTCGTCAGCCTGAACAGTCAAGTGGTGTAAAGTGTTGACGTGATGGGGTTAACATCGTCTCCAAGCAACGCAGGCGACGTAGCTACTCGTCGCTCGTCGTCCTGAACAGTCAAGTGGTGTAAAGTGTTGACGTGATGGGGTTAACATCGTCTCCAAGCAACGCAGGCGACGTAGCTACTCGTCGCTCGTCAGCCTGAACAGTAAAGTAGTGTAAAGTGTTGACGTGATGGGGTTAACATCGTCTCCAAGCAACGCAGGCGACGTAGCTACTCGTCGCTCGTCAGCCTGAACAGTAAAGTAGTGTAAAGTGTTGACGTGATGGGGTTAACATCGTCTCCAAGCAACGCAGGCGACGTAGCTACTCGTCGCTCGTCAGCCTGAACAGTAAAGTAGTGTAAAGTGTTGACGTGATGGGGTTAACATCGTCTCCAAGCAACGCAGGCGACGTAGCTACTCATCGCTCGTCAGCCTGAACAGTAAAGTAGTGTAAAGTGTTGACGTGATGGGGTTAACATCGTCTCCAAGCAACGCAGGCGACGTAGCTACTCGTCGCTCGTCAGCCTGAACAGTAAAGTAGTGTAAAGTGTTGACGTGATGGGGTTAACATCGTCTCCAAGCAACGCAGGCGACGTAGCTACTTGTCGCTCGTCAGGCTGAACAGTAAAGTAGTGTAAAGTGTTGACGTGATGGGGTTAACATCGTCTCCAAGCAACGCAGGCGACGTAGCTACTTGTCGCTCGTCAGGCTGAACAGTAAAGTAGTGTAAAGTGTTGACGTGATGGGGTTAACATCGTCTCCAAGCAACGGAGGCGACGTAGCTACTCGTCGCTCGTCGTCCTGAACAGTCAAGTGGTGTAAAGTGTTGACGTGATGGGGTTAACATCGTCTCCAAGCAACGGAGGCGACGTAGCTACTCGTCGCTCGTCGTCCTGAACAGTCAAGTAGTGTAAAGTGTTGACGTGATGGGGTTAACATCGTTTCCAAGCAACAGAGGCGACGTAGCTACTCGTCGCTCGTCGTCCTGAACAGTCAAGTAGTGTAAAGTGTTGACGTGATGGGGTTAACATCGTCTCCAAGCAACGGAGGCGACGCGACGTAGCTACTCGTCGCTCGTCGTCCTGAACAGTCAAGTAGTGTAAAGTGTTGACGTGATGGGGTTAACATCGTCTCCAAGCAACGGAGGCGACGCGACGTAGCTACTCGTCGCTCGTCGTCC